CCCTCCCCTTCAGTGCCTCTTTCTACTTTAAATTCTCGTTGAGCCGGTGATCTGGCTCCTTGTGATACCTTCCTATATTGTGATTGGCTGTCGTGATTGCTTTGGTTAATCTTCTTATGTTCTCATTGGCTGTTGTTATTACCTTGGTTTAGCTTGCCCAATTCAAAAAACGCTCTCCGTAGTTAACTTCGTAAGTCAAAAGAAAACGGTGGTTTAAAAAAAGTTGTTTTTTTTTTTTTTTTTATGTGATGTTCTTAAATTGCATCATTACATAGATTGACATAATGGATTTTCTCAAGAAGATGTTCACTGAGGCGGGTTACAATGTCACGGGGGATGAAATAGTAGTGGGGCTAGCACTTGACTACATCAAGAATATGACAGAAATTTTTAATGCAACTAGCAAAAGGTAAAGGTTTTTCTTTCTACTTTAAATTTTTGATTTTTTAAAGTTTATTTTTAAAGTTTTGATTCCTCTTTGTGGTTATTCATGAACCAGTATACGACAGAATTTTTTTTTGGGCATTTTAAAAAGTCAATTCCGTAAGATCTGTCACTCTAACTAACTTGATTCCCGAATAAACCTTTGCGCGACAAGTTTCACAGGCAGACAGTGTAACACAAGTAGTAGTTATTCCAAAAATGGGCCTAAATGTGTTTGATAACGTAACGTTAACTTAGTAACGTGGGTCTTGTTCAACACCCGCTCTCGGTAAACGTTTTCAGGCATATCGTTTCCGGGAAGTGTTATAGTAGGTTTTTTCAAAAGTAACTGCAGAAATATTTCGTAATGACAGATGGCCTCAACGAAACATATACTAAGCTGTGTGTAGTATGCGTCCTTTGCAGTACACGCTAAAGAAAATAACACCCCTTCACGTCTCCACAACAATTCTCCCTCTATGCTCCGACTGACAATTAATGTGTTGGGGGAGCAGGGATGGCGCAGTGGTGAGAGCACTCGTCTCCTACCACTGTGGCCCGGGTTCGATTCTCGGACCTGGCCGGCGTCACATGTGGGTTGAGTTTGTTGTTGGTTCTCGTCCTTGCTCCGAGGGTTTTTCTCCGGGTCCTCCTGTTTTCCTCCCTCCGCAAAAACCAACATTCCAAATTCCAATTCGATCTCGAAACAGTGGACAAGAAGAGCCAGCCGGTGGAATGTCCATCGCCAAATCATTATTTATTTTATTTAATTTATTATTTAAATCCTAGTAATTGGTTTGTTCCTGTTCTGTATTTTTAGAGTAATAGCCAACTATATGATGTGGCACGTGGTACTTCGTTTCTCACCGTATTTGAGTTTCAAGTTTAGAGAAGTTTTCAAAGAATACCAAAAGACCATTAGCGGGACCACCGCGGAAGACCCTCGCTGGCAGGAATGTTTAGGTGTCGTGGGCGGATCATTCGGCATGCCACTCGGTCTGTTGTATGTTGACGAGACGTTTGAGGGAGAAAGCAAAAAATCGGTAAAGGAAAAGGGGTTATGGGACTGTATTTAAAAAATTAACAATATAACAATAGCAATAAACTATGAAATTATTTCACCATTTAAATTTTCACTAACGGTTTTTACTGTTTCAGTTATTAAAACTAAACCAAAAATAGACGAATGAACAAACAAACTAACAAAAAAAACAGAAAACAAAACTAAACCTTGAGTTCTTAGACTATAGCACCCTACTGCTACTAGATTCATTTTGCTGGATTCTCCAACCGCTGGACGTTTGGGCCAGTCCTCGGCATCCTTTTGAAAATAATTTCTCCCTCTATTGTAGGCCGAGGAAATGATTCACGACATTCGACAGGTTTTCCTTGCCAATCTGGAAAAAGTGGACTGGATGGATGAAAAAACTAAGCAAAAAGCAAAAGAAAAGGTTTGGAATTTTAGTCCCAAAGTTATGCATGCATGCTAATTAATTTTTTTTTTCTCAATAGCGAAACACTTGTCTATACTTCATCTCCCAGGAAAAATAACGTGCTGTTTTTAGGCTATGTTGGTTTCTTTTAGGATTTTGCAAGCATGGAAATTAAAGACGCCGACGTTTTAGTGGTTGATAAAAGATGGGTTGATTTAGAACAATGACATTCAGAGCCATAACAACGTAGTTAAAATGACGATAACTCTTACATACCAGCTGTTTGAAAGTTGGTATCCCTGAGGCTCAAAGCAATCCTCTGACCACCCTCAGATTTAACCTCGTTCCCAGGGTCAATATTTCCCCTTCCCTCGCTCTCTTTCGCGCGCGCTTCAAAGGAAGGGAAGAACGAGACCCTGGGAGCTAGGTTGCGTTTACTTAGATTATTCTCCATCAGTTTTGACATTTCCAACGAACCTCTCGGTCCTGTTTATTAAGGGGATTTTTTTTTGGTTAATTTGTTTGTGCGTTCCAGTGATTTCCAATTCGTTGAACTGTCGTCCCTGCTTTCGATCATTCATGGCTCTTAAGTGTATTTATCCAGTTTTGTTTTGTCTCAACCTCATTGTCATACCTTACGCCCGCATATAACAAAGTGCAAGACAGTTTGAACCAAGGATTGTTCTTGCTATTGTCGTTATTGTTGTTGCTGTTGTGGTTGTTTCTGCTTATGTTTGAAGTACCCCGTTTAGTAAATTACACTTCAATTTTTACACAGGCTTTAGCGATACGCGAGAATATTGGCTATCCTGAATACTTAACAAATAAAACTGCGCTATCCTCAATGTTCAAAGGGGTAAGTTTGACTTATTTCGCATATTAAGCTTTAATGATTAAACGCTCAATATCCACTACTTCGAATTCTTTCTTTTGCGAATGGCGAAGTCATCCATTAGTATTAGAAAAGTGTCTATCTTTTATCCATGGTCACTAATCTTGTTGATCACATGGAATGACGTCCGAAAGTTTTGGATAGTTTTGAAACCATCCCTTTGACTTGTACGAGTATACCATTTCTGATTGTTACTCTTTGTGTCCTCTGAACTGCAGTTTGACGTTGAAAAGGACCAATACTTCAAGAATATTGTGCAATCCCAAGCATTTTTTAACCTAAAAAACTACGCCAAAATGGGCAAGCCAGTTGACAAGGATAGGTAAGAAATGAAAGGAAAGGATCTTTTGTATGAAATTTGTCAATTTTTCACTTGAAGATATGTTGGCCTAATTGTTAGTGCAGTAGTCTTCAAGTCAAGGAGTTTGTGCTTACGCCCTGGCCAAAGTCATTTTGCTGCGTTCTTGGGGGTATATGGGTCTTTCACCCTATTGTAAGCTTGCCCCCAATTCGAACCGTTGAAGGTGTGGGTGGACTCGTTACATTTGATGGGACTAACCCGTCGTGATAGGGTGCAAACTGGTAGGATATGCGAACTTGCAGCAATGTGAGGAAATTTCCAGAAACCTTCGTGTTCGTGGTCAAGGTAGTCTCATTGCATTCCTTAAGTAAGGGGCTTTTTAATGTAGGGTACCATGCAATTAACTGTCAAGAAAACCCAACAAAATGCCGCAGTAGGGTATTGTTGGTGGTTAACTTTCTCTTGGTTAGTATTCGATCCGGGAATAGTGATAATAATGCGAACGATTCTTCTAAAAGCTCTGGCAATGTTGGCTGCTCAGCTTGTTAAACTCAATTACTACAATTGTTATTTTATGCAGATGGTCCATGACTCCTCCCACTGTTAATGCGTACTATTCTTCCATTGAAAACAAAATCGGTGAGTACTCGTGCATTTGTGTATCAGTTTTGTTTTTTGTTTGGTATCGCTTCTGTTGGATGTCTGTTTGTTTCTGTTGTCCTTCCCTTCAGTCATATCCATGGGGGTTGATTTCCCGTTGACCGGAGGGAGGTCCTGTTGATCTTTTTAACGTTACGGGACGTTCTTTGTATTTTTATTTAGGTTTGCTTCTTGAGTTTTCTTTTTTTTTCTAATGGAAAGTTGCCTATTCCTTTTTAATTTAGCTTTTCCTGCTGGAATTCTGCAGAAACCATTTTATGATCACAGATTTCCCAAGTAAGTCTGAACATTCAAAGGACTCAATTGATTTATTCGCTATTTACCTGACTCTGAACAGATACGCGCTTTCAAAGAGCCTCGATGAGAAGCAGTCTCAGATTCTCTAGTATTTTACCCATGAAATGTATTTGTCAACGTGCCATTCAGTCTAACGTTCCCCTGACCTTTTTGAATCGTCAGCCCTTTCACTCCCGTGATCTCATCAGGAATTCTCCTCGCTTTTTGCCATACAATTCTTGTGATGTTACTTTGGAGAATTTGAATCTCCTACTTGATGTTTTCCTAAATTCTCATCACCTGTCTGCTTGATAGCGGGGCTCCCACGCGCGCTGCCTCGCGCGCGTGGGGCAGAGCCCCATGCCCATGGAATATGGTCAACCTCTTTCCGTTTGGTTGTCACGTGACTGACCAAGCGTACGCACGTACGTACGTGCCTTCAGATTGCACGGGTAGGGTAGGGGAGACTATCAAAACGAAGGGAGGGGTGACTCAGGCGAGTCTTGGCAAAGGCACGTTTTTTATGTTATTAACATTACGAACTTGGAGGCTCCGCTTTTAGGATTGTCTAAATCTATATATTATTGTATCGATATAGTTACGAGAAATTCTGTCTTGGTCACTCATTGGAGTTTTCATTCCTGTTTTCCATAATCGATCTAGAAATTATTCAGTTGTTGAGTTTAATCAAATCTCCGTCCTGTCCGTCTTTCTGCCCAGATATTCTTTTCTATTTTGATTTATCTATCAACAAATCATTTTCATTCTATTCTATGTTTATATTGTTACATATGTGATTTTTGTTATTTTTCAAGGGCTCTCAACTATGGAGGAATCGGAATGGTTGTTGGACACGAAATCACGCACGGTTTTGATGACAATGGTAAGGACTGATATTAATCATGATAGTAGAATTATGACGCGAAATTCTTATCTTCTTCACCAAAGGAACGAAACAAAAATTGTTTTCTAGTTCGCTCCTTATGATATTTCCCAAGTTTTAAAGGTAAGAATCAAAGCAGCTTAAATAAAACACAAATTATATTGAGTTCGGAGCATTTTCCTAGCGAAAGCGAGATGGGAAAATTTGTGTTCAAATTTGCGCCTCTTTCACCAGTTTTCATTTCATTCGTGTAGGTCGGCTGTTTAACAAAGATGGCAACTTGGCGAAGTGGTGGTCAAACAATTCTGTTACAGCTTTTAAGAACAAAACAAAGTGTCTGGTAGACCAGTATTCCAGTTATGAATTTCATACCAAGAACGTAAGTCTGTTGTCATCGATGTATCACATGCTGCTTCCTACCAATTATGTTTTCATGCATCACATCTGGAATGTGGCAGCAACAAAGCCAAATAACATGACTTGTACACAACAAGCTTACAATTTAGATCATCTTATTTTGACGGTCGTCGTAAACTACGCTGATGTTCTGTGTCTGGGATGCTGAGAGTTAAAATTCACAGCATTTTCGACATTGAACATTAGCGAAAAATCATTTGTTATTTAACTTCTATGTCAAAAGTAATCCTGATCCCATTTATTTCCACCTCTTTGGTGGTGTACCACGGTCGCACATGCATCATATCTGCAACGTGGCAGCAACAAAGCCAAATAACATGACTTGTACACAACCAGCTTAAAGTTTAGTTTATCTTGTGTTTCCTTAAAGTGAAATTATGAGCGAAAGACAGTGTTGACGGTCGTCGTAAACTACGCTGATGCTTTGTGTCCGGAGTGCCATGAAAGGCCTACTCTGGGGCTTTAAGTCGCCGTAACTTTGGGCGACTTTGGGCGACTTTGAGCGATTTAAGGGGACTTAAGCCAATTGGTAGAAAAAACGTTGCGACTTTAGGCGATTTAAGGCGACTTAAAGCGATTTTATTCGACTGAAATGATAAAATCAAAGTTAGCAACAGTCTCTCTATAAAATTTAAAAATATTTACAGAATCCTTGCAATAAACACAATATGATTAGAGTGGGGTGAATGGGGTCAATTAGGAAGAGTGGAACCCTTATAACATTGCATAACCAATAGTGACTTAAGGCGACTTAAGGCGACTTAAGGCGACTTAATGCGACTTAAGGCAACTTAAGGTCCCAGGGTAGGTCTCATGAATTAAAATTCATAGTATTTTTGACATAAAACATCAGCGTAAAACTGAACATTTGTCCCATAACTTTTCAGTCAAAGGTTAATTCCCTTTTATTGCCACCTCCTTGGTGGTGCATCACGATTGCTAGCGGCTGGAACACTGCGTTTTGGCCACAGTTTCTTATAAGCATGTGGGTTCAAATCAACACAGCGGTCAGGAGTCGGGGATTGCGCAAATAGATAAATCCTGCTCGGCGGCGCGCCAATTTTCCGCGCAAACTTTCAAAGGAAAACTCAAGAACAGTTGCTGTCATGAAAAGATGTGAAACAAAATATGAATGTTCACAGAAACTGTATAAAGAAAACAAATTCAGGCTAAAGAAAAGACTTTTAGACCTCAAAGTTTTTTTAAAATGCGGGATATCCTGCTGATGCGTCATTTTGTTACGAGCTGTATCAAGAACGTTAACCGCTTTTGAAAAGACCCTGAATCACTAACTTGTGTGGCTGTTAGACAACTTGGTTCAGACAGAATGAAAGCACACCTCCTGGGCATTACAAAGTTCGCACATACATAGATGTTTGACTGTATGCTGTGTAGTTGAAATTAGGGTCACGAGGAACTTCTTTTAGAAGCACTATTGTTTTCATTTTTGTTAATAACCTGCCTTCCTAATCAGTAAATCTACAAACTAAGTTCAAAACTCTTGACTTAACATAACGTTTCTTGAACAGCTAAAGGGTGAGCAAACCCTCGGGGAAAACATCGCGGATAACGGCGGGATAAAACAGGCATTTCAGGTGGGGCATTGTTTTATTGTTCTATGTTGCTGTATTGTTTTATTATTTTTTAATCTTTCTACAAAAAAAGGCATGGTAGTGTAACTATCAAAAGTTATGAATTTTATATCCTTGCAATCCTGCAGAGTGCAGGTAGCAACAATTAGCAACCATCAATTTTGAAGCTTCGCCCTGAAGTTTCGTTTACCAAATGTTTCACAAAAAGCTTTATAAACAAAAAGAATATAAACTCTTCCTACTTGGCAGGCAGACATCTTGATCAACTCTAATATATCATATAGCTCTATTCTAATATTTTAACTATATAGTGTATGTGCTATCTCCTCAAGTATTCAACCTCCACCCATCTGTAACTGCTCTATGGTAGTAGCCAACTCGAAAGTTTCGCTCCTTTGGCTACTACACACTCTTTCCACAGGTTTGTGTAATTTCATGTATAGTTAGAACTCTCTTCTTTTTTTTTTTTTTTACTTGTTTTCTTTCTTGCTGTTGTATTTTTTTAGTAGAATAAGTGTGAATAAAGTTCTGAAGTTCTGAAGCTCTGATCTGAGCATTAATTTTACAATTCATGTATGATTTTCATTTAAGAAATAAAAACTGGCTTTCATTCATCCATTCCCTTTCGTTTCCATGATATCACCTGTTTATTGTTGTGTTGTTACCTTAGTTTCCTTTGATGTAAGCCTACCTCTATTAACGGAAAAATTATACACAGTGAATAAGGAGATCACCGAGCAATACCTGACCAATACTACTTTGATATTGATTGACGTCTTGTAACAGGGTCACACCTTTATGAGGTCTTTCATTAAACTTGAGAAGTCACTTATTATGTGTACTTTTCGATTGACTTTAAAACAATAAGTGGTTACTGATCGTAAATTTTTGAACGCAGGCCTATCAGAACTGGAAAAAAAGGCGAGGCCCAGAGCCCCCTCTGCCTGGTTTGAAAAACGTCACCAATGAACAGCTCTTTTTCCTTGGGTTTGCTCAGGTTTGTAGATCAATTTTTTTTGTTCTATTAAAACGCATATACAAAATAAAAAAAATAAAAATTAATGAAAAGCAACAACCAAAGCGAATGTTAGGGAACAACAATTTTTATAGGTACTTTTGTAAAGCTCTCTCCCGCTCGTTGTTTTGGAAGAGACTTCGGGCAAATATGGGTACTGGGAACTCCCGAGTAATCTTTAGAAATTGAAAATGCTACAAACTTCAACAATTTTTGCTTTGATAGCCGAATCTAGGCTGATTATGTATGCTCAACTTAAGTTTCAGGTTTTTTAAATCAATTACCCAAGGTGTGTTTGGAACGATAATTATATCTTTGCGCATTTCTTTCTATTTAGATTTGGTGCAGCAAATATCGCCCAGAGACAGCTATGCGCCAGGTGGATTATGGTGTTCATAGCCCTGGAAAATTCAGGTGCAACTACTTGAAGTGTATTATGTGAAAACAAGAAGATTCGAAGAACACAACAGGCCCCAATAAATCGGAACTTACGATATGCACGACTATAAGATAGAGATCGCAAGGAAATTTTGATTCTATGAATTTAAGGGATCAGAAAAATGTTCAAGAAATCAAGCAATCAAAACAAAAGATGTGTTTTTATCAAATACCCCCCACAGTCCCGTAAGCTTTTATCGAATGGCTTTTGACAAAGAAAAAAAAAACACTATTTAAGGTCCGCACACGTTGGCGTGAGCAGAACTAGAAAAAGCTGTATTATCTCACGGGATGCAAGCAAATAGCAGTAAGAAAGAAAAAGATGGGGTAACAGTCATTAAAAAAACAGATGTTTATGATCTGAGTTAGGTCGGTCCGAGCTAGAGAATATCTCGCTCCGGGTCATGTCGCTTGGACTTCACTGCTCTCTGTCTGTACGTCATGAGCTCGAGCCATCCTCAGACATTCTTTTCCCGTTCGGTCTTCCGACTCAGTCAATAAATACATGATGATTCGCTCCGACGAAGAGCTAAAGTTTGAAACGCCAGCTTTAGAAACTTTGTACGGTGACCAATTTACATTACGAACTCAGTTCATAAAACCAAATTTGTATCTGTAGTTGTATTTGTGTTTGTATTTACGAATATTTATACAGGGTAGCCCAGTTTTGCAGATAGCTAGTTTAAATGGGGTCCTGTGACACCCACCCATCCCACCCCAGGGGAGGACATCCACCACACAGTAATCTCGTGCGTGGGAAATTAACGTCTCCTACCCTTAACCCTGCAGGAGACGGTTTATTCGTCCTTTTCCGAGAAGACTAGAATATCTATCTATTTTTGATATTATAGAAAGGAAGCAAATTCTCCTCAGTTATTTTAAGACCATGAGTATTGGTCCGGCCAGGGCTCGAACCCTCGACCTCCCGCACAACACACTCTGGCGCTCCAACCAATTGAGCTAACTGGGGGGCGGTTATTATCTTGTTATACCGCTCAACGACGCAGTACCACAGTTTCTTCAGAAACTTTCCCTCCTTAAACACCCACCTGTCAAAATGCTCTTACTCGTTAACATTTTCAGTGCCCTATGAAAACGCGTTATTCTGACAATGATAATAAATTAATGATATCGGGTACACTCTTTAACCTTCTGATATATTTTCTTCCAGGGTGCTGGGCTCTCTATCGAACTTTGACGAATTCGCTAAGGCTTACAAGTGTTCCAAAGGATCGCGAATGAATCCTGAAATAAAATGTGCTGTGTGGTAACAAGTTTTTTAGTGACCTTGAGAGGGCACTTCCAAAGGAAGCAAGTGTCAAAGAATACTGATAGATAATCGTTGGAGATAACAACTCTATCAATTCAACGGGGAAAAACCAAACCAATTCTACAGTTTGTATAGATGTTCGAAATGGGACTTTATAAAGAGTCCAAGAAACGTTTATAGTTATAGAGACATGTTTTCAGCAGTTCAGTTCAAACATCGAAGTTTACATCATTAATAGTTTTCATCGCAGTTTCCGCGCTATGACGCGAATTTACATGATTACGAGACGAACGAGTCATATGAATTCTAAGCTCAGTTTATTGATTACTGTCAGGCTGCAGTTCAGCTGTGTTCGTAGAAACCGTTGTAGTTCTCCTTAGCCTAAAACCTCTTCATTTCCTTTTTTCTTTTCTCTCTATTTCGCAAAATAGACCCCTAGTCAGTTAAAACGGGTAGTGTTTGCCTACTGTGCTTTTATTTGTATATTTTATAGATTTGTTTTACGTTCCCGTTAATTGGCCTTATAAGACATGAACGATTTCAGTAAAGGTCATTCTTTGCATTTGCTTTCTAGTTCTTCTGTAAAACGTGTAGCGTGCGTCATATTCATTTCAGAACGAGCCTGAGAACTGAATGGATATCCGGAGTATTTTATTAGCTTACTGTCCGTGTGTTTGTCTATTTTTGTTTGCTTTTTTAATCGATCTTGCATCGGACAAAGGAAAATGTCACCAGGAGCCCACAAGGACTCATTATGAAACAACTAAGTTGCTTCAAAAGTGGGAAACGCGAGTGAACAGGGTGCAATGATTTTATTTTAGCATGTAAAGGTTGAGATCTGGCGAGTTCTATGAATCAGTAATAGAACATGCTAAGATAGAGTCAACGCAGTCGCGGATTACCTACTGACTCGAACAAACACTCCTGTTTCGCGAATTCACAAGTATTTTGACTGGTGTGTGATGTTTCTCTGACAGGTTATATAGATATCAATGTATAAGTAAATCATCTAGCGTTCTAATGTAAACGGTGCAACCTGATTGGCTCAACTGCTCGCTATCTACCCCGCCATATAGCCGGAAAGTGAGTTGAGTGAGTAGAATAACAGCTTGCAGCTGCAAGCAAGATAAAGTAAAAACCTGATCCTGCCTTTCTGTAAAATTTTGAACGACTTTCAGGTTTATATTGAAAAAACACACCATCATATTATCCGCTCCCAATTTCTATACGTCATACACTCGAACCTGTATCAAGTGGCACCGTATCAAGCGGTCATCCTGTATTCAGTAGTAGGTTTTCAAATGCTTGTAATTGTTACCCCTTGTTATTAGGTGGTCATCTCCATCAAGCGGTACCAACAGCCTTTTTGTATCGTCCTCCACCTCTAGTGAACGGTGCCTTAAAGCTGGAACCACTCAAACAAAACTAAAGATAACCTCTCAAGAAACGTTTAATAATTTTTGTCTTCTGAAAACAATTTTTTAGCAATATTTTTGAATGAGTTTTTGTACATTAGGTGGTCAATTAAGACATAAAATGGCGATTTTTATCGGTTTATAAAAGACATCTATTCTATAGGCCTGCATTTTGCGGTCAACCTGTATTAAGCGGACATAATTCCCCGTGAGAGACCGTTACAGGTTCGACTGTAATTCGACTTTACAAATTGTTAACAGACTCAACATGACAGAAAAAATGGGATCAGAGTTCAAAATCGGTTTTAATCCCCAATTTAACAAATGTCTTTCAATAATAATGGTATTGGACGAGAATGGGGAAAAATCATATTTTGGTTCTGTCCGATATTCTGAATGCTCTGTAAATGTGATTCTTTTAAGACAACAAATCTGACAATGTAAGGAAGCTCATGAACAGGAATACGAAATACCTTTTGGTTATAATTAGTGATAACATTTAGATTGTTTAGATTAGCCCAGAAGGAAGAGAAGGCTCCGAAAGAGGGGGGGGGGGGGGGAGGGGGGAGGATTAGGCCAACAAATGAGATGAACCCATAACAAGGGTAGTGTGGGAGGAGGGCCTGGAACCAGATACACGGATATCACTTTTCTTAAGAGGACTAAGTCCACCACTACATTAATGAGATTAAAACGTACAGGATCTCACTCCATGAGAAACCGATCGGCTTAGTTACTGCCGCGACGGTCGTTTGAAATGACCGATTGCACAATGCATGACAATAGAGGCGTTGACAGAAAGAGCCAAGTCCAAGAGAGAGCGCTCCTCGGGGATCCCAGAAAACGGCTTGGAACATGTACATCACTCTCTATCGGCTGTCACAGTTTTAACTGGTAAGCACAATGATAAATTAGTCATTTGTTTCTGTGAGCTTCCATGCATTGTGTGGAGTTTCTACACCTACACGCGAGCATCCGCGTCAAATGTGAAAAGGAAATTCCGCATTATTCGATCTTTTGAGCAAGGGATATTTCTAAAATCTAACTGGCGTATCATCAGTTTCGGGAAAATTCCTAGGGATTTTTAAAGAAGTTAGAAATCAACTGAAGACCCTGAAGGCTTTCTCAGTTATTGCCCTATACTTTGGAAAGATTTACCTACTGACATTAGATCAATCGGCGATGTAAACAAGTTTAAATCTAAATTGAAGACCTTTCTTTTTAAGCAAGTTTATGAACTATCCTCTGAGGTTCTCCATTTTGTAAATTTGTTATTATGTGTATACATATATATATATATATACATAAATGAAGAAGGTCTCTGACCGAAACGTTTTTTATTAAAAATTTTTATATTTTTCACGTCAGGAGTTGTCTATCCTCGCAATTTTTTAAACTTTCTAGATATATATATATATATATATATATGTATATGATTTTAGTCCTTTTTGAAGCATTGTAAAGCGCTTAGCCCTGAAAAGGATAGGCGCTATATAAATAATTCATTATTTATTATTATAAAGGGAGAGTTTTTGTCGTTCTTTCGTCTCGATTAAATCGTAGTAAACTACCATTTCGGTTTGCGTTCCAGCCCCTGTCCACGCTGATACGTTTTATTTGGGAGCATAATTTTTGGGTTATTCCCCTTTGGTCCATTCGTGCAGCCGAGTAGCTGATGGCCAATGTGTTTTCAGAACACTCCACTTCAGAAAACCGTTTTCGAAAATGACCGTCTAAATCAGCCTTTCCGCGTTTTTTTCTGTGGGTGATAAGCAACTGAAAAAAGGCACTAAAAGGTCTACAGTTCCCTACGAAAGTGTATCAGCCAGGATGAGGCCTGGGTTAAAGACCATGACTTTTAAAAGGAAAGCAGTTGGTATGACTAGTATGGATGGATCCTCAGTTGATCTTTAAAGTTTTCCCAAAAGAATCTCGCGTCAATACACAGGTATTCCAAGCTCGAGAATGAGCCTCCGTAGATTTTGCAAATATGTTCAGCTGAACTAACGCCGAGCCTAAGAATCTCACACGAGTTTTGTTATTATTTTAACTGGTTCACGTCTTTTAGGTCGAGGGCGCGACCGTTTATTTTCATACAAATCCATATATTTCCACTTTTAATACGAGGCTCATTTTGGGCTACCTGTGGTCAAAAGAATCCGCCTGGTCGAAATCTTTTTGAAACAGTGTAAATTGCTTTTTTTTCCTTGTGATTGTTTATTTGTTTGTTTGATCGTTTATTGGGTGGCTAAGCACAATTTCAGGGAACCAGTATCGAACCTACGTACTAAATTAGGAAACTAAAAAGGTGTAGGGATAAGCTACGAGATTGAACAAAAACAAGGCAACGAAAAATAGTTGTCACTTACGTAAATCTTCATGACTGTTCTCAGTTCAAATACTGCTCGTACGCTATATAATATATCCCAGGAAAACATATCATGAATCTATTGATAAAGTCTTGATTAATGCGTTAGAGTTCTTAGAGCTTTAGAAGGACATCAATCAAAGGTTTTTCTCACAGTAAAAATGTCTATTGTTCTTAATCGCTTTCCCACGCTCACACTATTTGCATATCCATACTGTTTTGGGTTCTTTTGTTACCTAGGCTCGGAACAAATAAAATGATTTGTTTTCTTTGAGTGTTTTGAACCGCGTCCCCGGGGTCAAATAATTGACATATCTCTACGTGAGATATAAACGATATGGGTTACAAACAGAGTTTGGATAAAATTGTCTTTCTCCGAATTGAATCTGCTCGGGATTAACGACTGTTAAACCTGCGAATTATCTCTTAAGAGTCCAGCTTACTGCAAATCTGGCTTTTCCTTGGGCCTTTATAGAACTCGATCGTGACCTCCACTGTAAGGAACTCTGAAATTTGTTGATAGTAGTCGGAGTGATGAATGATCCGACCACGAAAAGCCTTTTAAACGGGACAAATACTGAAAAACGGCGCGCTGATGAATCTCCTAGTTTTGTCAGAGCGGCTCACCCCTCAGTTTATCTCACCGATGTCGAGATACAACCAACAAGTGAGAAGCCTTTGTATCGCCCGACTGGATGGTCCAAACGCGAGAAGTTGATGATCGCTGGATTAATTGTTCTTTTGGTACTGTGCATTTTATTCATCGCACTGTTTGCAAAAGCGGTTTCAAAGAAGAGTGATCGCAAAAGTGAAGATGTGGAAAAGGAATCGATAGGATGGATCCTTGCTGCCTCTGGTAAGTGAGTTAATGACATTCCAAACTAAATGACATCTAGTTGGATATGATTTTTCGGTCGAGTAGTTCTTGTATACGTAGCTAGAAAAGACCTTATAAAAGAGCCATGATAAGTTATATCCTTTGATTTGTTTTCTGATAACGCACTCAGGATTATTTTCTTTCCAAACTAAATTTACAAATCTTTTCGTCGCGAATAGTGGCTCATAGATATCTCAAGTTTAGAAATATTCAATTTGCGGTTGAAAGGAAGTACATGAATTCGTATGTGAAATGCCCAGGAACTTGACTGTCAGCAGATGACTTACTTTACAGCTATTGAAACCATTGACGTAGGTGTCATCAACTTCTCAAAGACAATTGATAGCATCTTCAAATTCATCTCCAACAAACGAGTTTGACATAATCACAACTATATCAATATAGCACAGCTAACAGTGAATTTCTTTATTTATGTGAGTCCATTAGGGCTAAAAATAACTTCTCACAATTGGTGTGTTCGACCACAAAGCAATTACCTCGATGTATGATTTAAATGTTCACATCTACCATTATTAAAAGTCAGTTTGAAGCGATATTTTTTGGTTCTACCAGAGTAAGAGAACGATGGCAGCTAGTCTAGTGGAACTTCTATTGTCTCGAGAAATAAAATAGCATCTTTAAAGTTCGCTTTTCAGGCGTGTATAATTGTATACTGATAAAAATATTGATAACGTTAATAATCATCATAAGGATATTGGAAACTTTATTTGTGTTTTTGAATGTACAATGTTTTTTAATGCAAATCTCACTATGTATGGGCAATTTACAAATGCTGCTTGAGATTGAATTATTCAACACACACACACAATAATAATAAGAATGAAAATTCTAAAAATGGTAATGATTATAATGGAAATAATGACGACGATAATAATAGTGGCTGTGATGATAATATTTTTCAAAAGAAGATCATCCTTATCACTACTCCTACTTCTGATTATATGTTAATAATGGCTAATAATTGTAAATAATAGTGCTGATGACGTTGCTGATGAAATAAAGAAATCATGAGAGTTTTTAAAATTTTTCCAGTCTAAAAGCTACTTTTATTGGGGCATTTCTAACCGTTCTTCGAATTTGTTTGAATTCATAACCCGAGGGATCCTGGCGTAGTTAACGATGAAATGAGTGCAAATTTTTACGCTGAATTAAATTTCTATGTAGTCTGTGCGAATAATTATGGATGATACCTCTCGTTAGATCGGTTCAACAGCTTAGTTTTCTTCCCGGCCAACGTTCCTTCATTTTGATCCACATATAAATGTATTAATTATGTGATTATGCTCCATGAATCACCAACGCAGAGCAATTTTCACAGCTGGAGCTGACCTCACGTTGCTTAGAATAGTTATCGCAGTCTGCGGCCTTTCCCTACATCTAAGAAGTTCTGATAGCCGCAAGACTTTTTGACATGGGCCCTCTTAATCCCGATGGTATCATCGAACGATTTTCATTTACCTAATTTGTTCTAATGTACTCTTTAAGGTGACCAATTTACATTATCAACACTGTTCATAAAACCAAAATAATTATGTTTTATTACACGACTCGGGCAGTCAGAGGGCCAATAACTAAAATCAACCAATCAAAATACTCTATTGCCGGTCCAATATTCTCTAAGTATTGGACCGGGCACCGTCCCGAATGGTCCCGAATGATACGGCACTTGTGTCCCTTTGAACTTCAGTCGTATAATAAATCTCTTATTAACCAAGCTTGCTCGGGACTCTACTGGAAGAATATCGGCCCTCGGTCTTTTTTGTACGGACCTCGCTGCGCTCTGTCCGTACTGTCAAGACCTCGGGCCGATATTCTCCCAGTACGGCCCTCGCGCTTGGTTAATAAGACACAGCACAACAGTTTCTTCAGAAACTACCCCTTTATTCGATTAACTATGTAGCCTGTGTTTATTGTAATTGAGAAGGCCCTGACCGATAATTGTTTTTTTAACTGTTCGTCTCCAAACGGCAAAAAAAAAAAAAAGGTTCGTGACCTATAAGACAATGTAGCCGGCTTATGAGCTGATACACGAGATTACGTGAACCAGTCAGAATATAAAAAAATATATATAATCCGAGGCTGAAAATTTGAGTATTCAATGAAGATAACATCTTCAAAAGGTGACTCCGAAATTTATAGCTAATCCCCCTCCTCAAACAAAGTTTTCCTTTTCACTTTCTTTTGTTTCGCGGCATAACATATGACGCTGCATGTACTCCATTTTCCTCGTCTTTCTTTCATTTTTTTTTTTTTATTATCATTACTTTCATCTTCTAGATATTCTAAGTGCAATGAATGCAAATGCAGACCCATGCGACGATTTTTACGAATATGCGTGTGGAAAGTGGATCGAAAAGAGTTCTATTCCAGAGAGCAAGTCTTCCTGGAGTCAGTTCTACGTCGTTGACCAAAATAACGAAATAATCATGAAGAGACTTATCCTCGAAGACAAGGATAAAACAAGGGCTCAATATAAAGATGTAAGTTACTGTCTTAACTTTTCTTCATAATTAAAGAACACAGTCAAAGATTCTTTAGTAAAGAGCTATTGTAATTTGTAATGAAATATAATCGTTTTTCTCACGATTGTCTCACGATGTAGCCAACCTCGTTCCCCGGCAGAGTCTTTCATCTGCCAGCCCCTCTCTCGCTCCAGGGGGCGGAAAGATGAGACACCTTGGGAATGTAGCCTCTTCATGAGTGGGGTGTTTACACTGAGAGGGAAATGACCGAAACCTCATTTACAATATTGGCCACTGTAACGAATTGTTTATCATCGAACAAACGAGTCACCCAGACCGTAAGGTCTCGTTTTTTACGCCTGCCTACATGGTTGCATACAAGACTGAAGCACGCTTAAGATAACAAATTAGTCTGTTTAAAAAAAAAGTTTATTTTCCTATCCGTGTTATTCTTACCTTTTCATGTTACTTTTTAAGAACGAAGCTGTCATGAAAGGGTTCGACATGTTTGATTCCTGCATGGATGAAAACAAAATCAACGAACTGGGCGCGGATCCTCTCTTGAATTTGATCAAGGAGTATGGATCCTGGAATGTCACTGACGGAAACTGGACGGAGGATTCTTGGGACTTCATGGAAAATTTCGTTAAAATTCGAAAGTATCTGTCAGTACAGCTTCTCTTTGGCATGCATGTTATTGCTGATCTTAAAGACTCCACGGAACATATCATTTATGTAAGTGACAAATAAATATATCTTATTAACCAAGCGCGAGGGCCGTACTGGGAGAATATCGGCCCGAGGTCTTGACAGTACGGACAGAGCGCAGCGAGGTCCGTACAAAAAAGACCGAGGGCCGATATTCTTCCAGTACGGTCCCGAGCAAGCTTGGTTGATAAGAGATTTATTATACGACTGAAGTTCAAAGGGACACAAGTGCGGTATCATTCGGGACCATTCGGGACAGTGCCCGGTCCAATACTTAGAGAATATTGGACCGGCAATAGTGCATTTTGATTGGTTGAATTTAGTTATTGGCCCTCTGACTGCCCGAGTCGTGTAATAATATAGAAAGTTGCAGCTCCTTTTCTGCAATCCAACTGTCCCATCCATCCTTGCTCCTTTCTGGTCACAAGCAGTTGCTCTTAACTCTAAAGAATCTCTTAAATGATAGGCGTTGCTAATAATTAGATAGTCTTTGGTTTTCACTGTAGATCTTCCAACTCATCTCCAGAACAGTCAATGAATAGACTTCACCTAGCTATCTCTCAGATGACAGCTTTTATGCGCGGTCAGGTAGTTTGCAGCTTCGATTAAGATCCCAGTGCAATTTATTTCTGGTAAGGTCCATGAAATCCGCTGGTGGCCCCCGTCACCAAGCGTTCATTTCGAGTATAACTTTCACAAACTTCGCAACTTATTCTACAGGGACCATTAGACCCTGCGCATAAGATATACTCATCCATGCCAGTGCTTTCTAGGTCAGAGTTTTACATGTCATTGATTGCATCTTCTGGGTTTCTTCTACTATCATAGAAGATATTTAACACTGCATCGGATTCTAAGCTATGAGCTAACGGCTCTGACACGTTCTCATGCAGAATCACAGTGCTCGTCAACCGATACCCTTGATTCTAATAAGGGGTAAAAGCCTTCTAAACCAGGGGATATCGAGGATGCTCCTTTTTTTTAACATAAAATACCAAGTTCAATGTTTCGTATTTGTGCTTTGTTTTGATTTCCCTTAGTGTGTTTCTTTTCTCCGCACCCATTGCTAGGATGAGTAATCCCTTCGTCATTCCATTTTTACGTCTACATTTTCAGTTTAACCAGGGTGGAATTTCTATGTCTCAAGAATCGTACCTAAAGAATGCTTCTCGGAATATAAAGGTTAGTGCATTCTTTGTGCCAAGTTGAAAAGCATGCGTGAGGAAGGGTAACAAGTTTTTTACTGGACCCGCCACGCTGGAAATCATACGGATATCGCTTTAAAAATAGCGTTTACAAAACTAGTTAAGTACGATGTTTCCACAAGTTTATACGTCCTAATGTCTGCGACAATTTACCCCATGTAAGATTAGTCACAGTGTCTTACACTGGTCTTCATACCCATTAATTTTTTCCGTCTACTAGGCCCGTTCAGCTTACAAAAAGCTCATGATCGATCTTGTGAAACTTCTCACTGACAATCCAAACGTAGAGGCTTTGATGACCGAAATCTATGATTTCGAAGAATCGTTAGCAAAGGTAAGTAGTACTGAAACGCTTTACTCGGTAATCTCTTCCTTATATGTTTACCTTTCCTGGTTCCAACTTTACTTTCGCTCTTCGTAACTGACCGATATGTTTACTGCTCGCAAGTATGTGTCGTGGAAAAAGTGTACACAAGTCTCATGATTTTACATTGCTTGAAGCCAAGACCATGCTCGCAACCGCATTGCTTTCGTGGCTGGCCTCGCGAGGAATTTCTTATGCCACGTCACTTATCCAAGGTTGCCATGAACGCGTTAATTTACTTTACTTCACTTTGTAACTGGTTTACAAAACTGGGGTCTTTTTCGAAATCTATATAAGAAAAATGCAGTGACGAGGTAGGCCCTTGCGCCCTTGAGCGTTTCAAGTAGTTCACCTTGAGTGTCACATTAGGGCCGCTTCTACGAGGAAAATAATTCGCGTCGCACATACGATGCAAGCTCATCGTGTAAGCCACGGCTTACGAAGCGAAACCGCTGCTGTAAATGACATTTCGGCTTTGGAGGCTTATGTAAGACGCGCATTTGCGCTGCGGAAGCGCAATTTTTTTCTTGTGCTTGTGCGTTTTTCTCGCGCCAAAACCTGCTCGCACAACCCTCCAAGGCATAAGACGCGGACCATTTATGCGAGTACTTTGCAGCTTTTTAAAGCTGTGCTCATATAGATGGTCCAATTCGCGTCTTATGTAACACACGGATTATTTTGCTAAAAATAAACCGGCGGCTATACCGACTTCTAGCGGTATTCAGATTGTTCTTATTTGAACATTCGCTCTGACGAAGGGCTACCGCTCGAAACGTCAGCTTTTCAACTATTTACGGTGGCCAATTTACAATTTCAACGTAGTTTATGTAACCAAATTACCTTGTTATCCCCACCAATGCAGCACCACAGTTTCTTTAGAAACTGACCTCCGTTATTAGAACAGTTGAATCCGCCCTGTTTAGTCTTTTAATTCGAATGTTTTCCTTACATTTCTCAACGCCACGTGCCATGAATTTTCTATTCAGTTTTAAGTACTACATAATAATTGTAATGGTCGAAAAAAAGACAGTGAATATGTGTGATCTTCGCAGTAATGAACACTGCTTGAGCGATAGTGAAAATGAGGCCTTGAAGTAAAATCCGGCCTGTACGGGATTTGAACCCATTGACCTCTGCGATCCCGGCACAGTGCTCCGCCCACAGAGCTAACAAGCTAACTGGGAGCTGGTCATTTTGTCGGTTCGTAATAAACCTGCCAAGAAATGAAGAAATGACTGAGAATACATGAAAACCATATACTTGAATTGCGGAATGTGAACGAATTTGAGAGTGATCAGCAACAACAACAATAACCAGGCTTGGATATTCTGGTGTACACCTGAGAGTAATTGCAACTTTATAAAGTCCTAACTAAACTTCGTTTCAGACGTTCATTCCTAGAGAGCAAAGGCCAGATTTGGACGAGGCTTACAAGAAAATGAAGCTGAGTGATTTCATCAAATCAACCGGAAACGCGGTAAGATGATTATAATTCTATAGTGACACTGCCTTGCTATCGACGGTAACCATATTCTATGCATGTAATATGCGAAGATTTGAAGGTCAGGACAATGACAAGATAAACTGAGGAAATGTCAAATAAACGCTTTAAGTACGAAAAAAAATTTTTATCAATTTTAACAATAATATCACAAACATCCCTCTCACTCTGTGGCGAAATATCGCCTCAGACTTGAGCATGACTCGTAGCCCGTTTTATTCCCACTTTTACGTTTCTTTTTTCAAACGTTTACGTGTGTTAACGCACGTCGCAATCGCGAGATTACAGAGAAGATTTGAAGAGCCTTCATCTCATACTTACGCACCTGCGATTTTCGTTCTTAAGAAAAAAAACGCATGGTATTGAATTTTACACGGCAGAGGAAATTACTCACGCGTGTTTTTTTAACGTACGTTTTTACGAACGGAAAAGCTTACGCGATACTGGAAATTCACGTTGAAGCAAAGTTTTGATTATATTTTTGACTTTTTCCTTTTTTTCAGGATAGAAATTGATAAATTTAGAATAGAGATTGATAAGATTAGGGACAAAGCGTTTACAAACCTCTTAACGATATGTTTTTTTGTATTACAGTTTGATATGATGGATTTTGTCAAGAGGATGTTCAATCAGACAGGTTACAATATCACGGGAGACGAGTTGGTCGTGGGACAAGCACTTGACTACTTTAAGAATATGTCAGACATTTTTAATGCAACGAGCAAAAGGTAATCAAGCCAGGTTTTAATTGTCTCCATTAAGAAACCAAAGATCTGATTTGAATTGATCACAGGCGATTGAATCACATGAGGCATGTACAATTTGCTTCCAATTGCTTTGTTGTGATTTTCATCGGACGTATCGTTCTGCGTTTCTGATAAATACTCTGATTCCGACTCCGACGCAAGTGAAAACAAGCCACAAGAGGTGCATCCTAATTTATGCGTTGTTGTTATTTTTTTTTCAGAGTGCTGGCCAACTACATGATGTGGAAAGTAGTGCTACATTTTTCAGGGGATTTGGACTCCAGATTCAGAGACGTTTTCGAAGAATTCAGGAAAAGCATCATGGGAACCACGGACGACGATCCTCGCTGGCAGGAATGTTTGAATGTTGCCTACGCGTATCTTGGCATGCCATTCAGTCTACTGTATGTTGACGAGACGTTTGAGGGAGAGAGCAAAAAATCGGTAAGGGAAAGGGGACATTGACTGTTGTTAGACCTTCAACAATTCCTTAGAAGATAATGGTCATTATAATTTCATATGGTTACTCCAATCAGTTTTTATATACATCAATAAATAAATAAGATTTCACCAGCCGAGGCCAAGTGGAGGTTGGATTTATAATTAAAGGCAAACTGGCAAAGCGAAATCTAGCTCTTAAAAAATGACGGCTTGAACTGATTAGTAGAATCCTCTTCAATCGGAGACTCAGAATATAAAAAAATATTCTCTCTTGGATTGGTGTAATATATTAGGCCGATATTTGGAATCTTATTACCGTAATAGCCAGTAAGGACATTAATACCCGGAACTTAATGAGTGTCTGGGAGAGCGGGAAAGATTAGTGACATGCCCTTGCTCCTTTCGACTCTAAAATTGGATCTCCTCTTCAGTGATCCTCACTATCGTCATCTTTGTTTGTATTGTAGGCCGAGGAAATGATTCATGACATAAGGGAAGTTTTTCTTACCAATTTGGAAAATCTAGACTGGATGGACGTAGAAACCAAACGAAAAGCAAAAGAAAAGGTTTGCAATTGTAGTCAATAATGAAGCTGATTTTTTTCGTTATCAAGGCTGTTTTCGTTGATCGACTTGATAGCATAATACGGGAATTGATAGCAAGCCATGCGGACAGGAACTTGCGATCAGACATAGCAAGGATATGGGACTTCTCTTTTAGGGTTGCAAATCACAAATTTTAGCCTCACTTGGGTGTCGGGACGAATTTCTTTTGAGTGAAATTGTCTAGATGGGGTTAACTGACAACTGACAAATGGCCAAAATTTTAACTGACAACTGACAAATCGCTGAAAATCTAACTAACAACTGACATTTGTGGTGGGCTTTTACTGACAGCTGACAAAAGACTGGATCGCCCTAAATGTCCTAAAAATTGTATATAAAATAAGGATAGTTGATTTATTTTGTCCAATAAAAGTACGTTTTTCATTACAAATTAGTAGGAGTACGCCAGAATACCAGGAATACACGGGATTCCCGGAATGACCGAAAAATAATAAATTTTAAAAAATAAAAGTAAATTAATAAATAAATAAGAATATTGCTGGTTAAAAATTGATGGTAAATTCACAACTTAATTAAATAATTTAATACGAAAATTTTCTCTGAGGAGATGCAAGTATTAAGAGTAAAAAAAGTCTGCGTCAGGCCAATAGCCCATACAGCCTAGGCGACGAAATATTTCTACTCTCCCTTCCCCCTGGATGGGATACTAATCCATCACATGGTTTCTCCCCGTTTTAAATTCGCCTCCACCCATTTACACACCTGTAGGATGTCTAGGGCGCCATGACCATTAGGCCGCCACGCTTTTCCAGCCGGAATTATTGCAGAAGATTAAACAAATGAAATGTTTCCAATTATTTTAATAGTTCAATTGTGAAAAGCTCCGAACTATTAGAAATTAATACTCTACCTTAAATAATTATTAACCACGCATTGGGAGCTATCAGAGCAGCTACCATTGAGACCAGCGGTCTATAGTTAAAATTGAGAGATCGTCAGTTACTCGACACCTTTTCGCGTCTATTATAAATACCTTGAATATATATCTTTGAATATACACCTTGTTTAGAAGAATCCATCAGTGCAAGATATATATAGTTAAAGGTATATATTCAAGGTATTTATAATTGACGCGAAATGGTGTCGAGTAACTGACGATCTCTCAATTTTAACCGTAGACGACTGGTCTTAATGATGGTAGCTGCTTTGATAGCTCACAATGTGTGGTTAATAATCATTTAAGGTAGATTATTAAGCCTGTAATAGTTCGGAGATTTTTAAACTAATTGGAAATATTCCATTTATTTAATCTTCGGCAATGGTTCCGGCTGGAAAAGCGTGCAGGCCTATTGGACATGGCGCCGTGGCCAGACATCGTATAAGTGTGTAAATGGGTGGAGGCGAATTTAAAACGGGTAGTAACCATGTGATGGACTAGCATCCCATCCAGGGGGGAAGGGAAGTAGAAATATTTGGTCGCTTAGGCTGTATGGGCTACTGGCATGGCCTGACGCAGACTTTTTTTAATTCTAATACGTGCATCTCCATGAACAGTGCCAGTAAGTGTTTTTTTTCGGGACCTCAGAGAAAATTTTCGCATTAAATTATCTAATTAAGTTGTGAATTTACTATTAATTTTTAATCATTAATTTTCTTATTTATTTATTTATTTATTTACTTTTTTTTAAATTTGTTATTTCTCAGTCATTCTGGGAATTCCGGGAATTTCGGGTATTCCGAGTATTCCGGTTTCGGTTCCGGTTCCGGTTCCGAATTCCGGCCTTCCATATTTTCCAAACTACCGCCAGAATGTTATATTTCGCTAATAATTACCGCATGGACCATTCACATCAAGGTCATATGTTACATATCGGTTATATGACCTTTGATACCCAACTCGATCGTTAACTCTGCGTTAACTCTGCGATGGCCGTCAAAGGCTGTTGTAAGCTTTTCAAATTGATTCGGAAACGGCATTTATGCCTCTTGTTCGCTTGCCAATAACCTTGTGCTGTACACTGTGCATTGCTAGGGGTGAGCTCGGTTTGCTGGGAGAATTAAACGGACAACCTTTATTTGCCGTAATTTTGCCACTCAGTTGAGTGGCCGTTTATTTTTAATACCAAATCAAATTACAGTAAAACCGAAAATAAAACCTAATCCCAGCAAAGGTGAGGGCAAACACCCCTCAGATGAGAACTCAGGGCACCTATGAGAATGCTCGAAAACAATGGGCGGGTTAATAGAGTGGGAAATGTTTGCCCTGCACCGAAGCTTAACTAAAAGAGGCCCTAAATCACATGTTCGCGTGTTTAAGTATCTGCCATTGTAAGTCCCGGATGTAACCCATCCGGGATAATGATAAAACGCGGCACAGGCTGCCTAAAAAAATTTATTCCCTTTGGTAATAAATGTCATTTGAGCGTCTAGGAATGTGACACATGTCAAATTTGTCGAGGCTGTCTTGTTGAAGTGGCAGTTGCTGAGATGCGAACATATGTAGACGAATATGACACGGACTCAGAAAACGACTTTTCTGACCGAGAGGATAAATATATTACCCTTATTACGGTTTCTAGATCTGGGCGGCCAATTCGCGCCCATTTTCACTTGGATTTCTAAGGTACTCTTACATAAGATATCTCTAATAACCTAATTGAAAAGCAGACAAAAGAACATTCCTTTTCGACCATTTCATCGGAGCCAATCATAATCAACATATTTAAAACAAAACATTGAACCGGTATCGGTTGGAAGGAAGATTGTCTTTCTGACGATCTTCTCTCCAACATTTTGACCGGCTAAGTGGTTGAAAAGGAATGTCTTACTGTTGCACACAGGCAAACAGAAGTTTGTGTGCAGAAGAGTTTTATCTTGCTTAAACACCCTTCAAACAAAGACTGAAAGTCACTTGGAAGATCTTGGAATTATTTCATTCCAGAACTGAGACAAAGGAGTTCTTTTTTTTATCAATTTTTAACTTCATTCTTGAGTTCACGCTATATGTGCCTTTTAGCCATTAATAGGATCGGAAAGTAATAATGAACTTCGGCCAAGTAAATCATTTACAGTCATTTAACTGACAACTGACAAATGGCCTAAAATCTAACTAAGAACTGATAAATGGCCGAAATTTTAACTGACAACTGACATTTGTACCCCTCCCCCCATCCAGACCCTCAATCCTTGGGTTTCACCCACGTGACCAATACCTTAGCAACGGTTACTATCCGCCATCTTGGTGTCCCTCGAGCGTAAACAAACCGTATCTAACGAAGAGTTCATGTGAGAAAGAAGGGATGGTTTTATGCATTATTGTTGGCTGTTCGAGCAAAAGTGGAAAGCATAAAGACTAAGGATTTTTTCGTATAATAATTTAATAATTTTATTATTTCTATAGCGCAAAATTCATTATATATATGATCTAATGCGCTATACCTAAGATCATCACAAATCAAGGGGAAGAACAGGAGGAACTAGAAGTTGTTGTATTGTTCGAGGCTTGCGGCTGTTGTAGATCCTCGATTTTTTGGTCGAGCTTTTCTTTGAGCTTCTTAGCCGATGAGAAATCGATGTCTTTAGCCCTCGCATACGGCACTTCATTGACCTATGTCGGCAAAATCCATGAGCATTTTACCTGAGTGCAAGTAAGCTTGGGGTGTCACGAAAACTCACACCCCGAAAACTCAGACCTCAGACCTCAGACCCCGAAAACTCAGACTCCTCGAAAATTCAAGAGATCCCTCGTGTATTTTGACCTTTTGGGTCTTCATCCAACTGAAGCAGCAAAAGCAAGGCCGCAAGTTGCACGTTTCGCAAAATCGTCCGATGGTTGAGTATTAAAACATTTTAGAGTGACACAAGACTTCATTTAGCTTAGATTTCCTCCATTTTTCCCGTTAATTTTGAACTTTTCATTCACAGTTAACGGGATCAAATGCGCTCGCTCCAACACCAAAGTATTAAAATGTGGCGTGATTTTGACGAGCCGAAAGGGACGTTTGTTTACCTTTTTGTACTTCGTCGCACAGATCCTTGTTGTCGCTCTGTTAAAATTCTTAAATATTTCGCGATAATAATGGATACAAACAGAGACTCGGCCCACCAGTCCCAAAACGAAGACAATTTTGCGACCCTTGGGCTAGAGTTCTTAAATGAGGCAGAAAGAGAAAAACAACGCGAAAGAAGACTCGGCATCAGCGCCGTCACGATTCGCCTCACTGAAGAATCACTCTTGATATTGTTGTTCGTCTTTCGCGTCGGATTTGTTGCATTATTCCACCGGTTATATTATAAAAAAATTGGTTCATGCTTTATGCTATGCACTATCGAATTATGGAGCACTTCGGAAGCTTGGAGAACACTTCGAGGGACCTGAGTTTTCGGTGTCTGAGTTTTCGTGACACCCAGCGACCTTGCCATGAATTCTAGTAGTTGCCTCTAACATAAATAAAACACTCGCGATATGTGAGCATGACTCAGCCAGTCCAGCTTTGCATCCCAAGCAATGGGCTGACAAAATAGTCCCATCGTTTTCGGAAATGACCCAAATGTTCACTAAAGGATCATTCATATGCTGTGAATGCCAAACTCGTGCTCTCACGGCATACTTGCCGGCGATTACTTTGCCTACAACTGAGGTTACAAATCCCGACACCATTTGATTAAACGCCTCTAGACTCTTGAACGCCTTGAACTGCTTCTTGGTGTAGAAGCTGGTCTCAAGAACGAGGTAACTCAGCAAGTCCGACGCTTCCACAGGAGGCAAGCATTTTGGACTGAACTTCTCGGCTGGTATGCTTGCAGGGTCAACCCCAATGACCGAGATCTTTTGCAAACATCTTTCCTTCCAACTCTCTAAGCTTTCGGCATACTCAGAGAGCACTGGGATACCTTAAGATGAATGCCAGATACTTTTATCGCTTTTTTCTTCCTGGATATTCATGTAGTTGGCGAAATAATACGGCGATAAGAGAGAGGGCTTCACTATAGAAATCGACTAATTATTCATAAATTTGACACCCGAGGGACACCAACATGGCGGACACTCACTTCAGCAAAGCTTGTGACGTCACCTGAAACCCAACCATTGGGTTTTTATTAGAAGAATTAAAAACGTGATATCTTTTCCCGTAGTTTATAAGAAAGAAAATCACGATAGAAAGATTTAAGGCCCGACCAAACGATAAATGTTGGACGATCCAACATGTTGGTTGCATGTTGGACAGTCCAACATGTTGTAAATTAGGGGGTGGCCAAACGATACCAAACATCCATTCAACATGTTTGATCAAACATGGGACGCATAGGGTTGTGGGAAAGGATATTTCCCAGCGCACACCACGTTGTAATATCCACGGATGTTTGAAACATGGCGGAGAGGAAAGAGAAATTTAAGCGTTGTTTATCAGTGTTGAAGAAACCGAGGATAGAGCAAGTAAACGAGGGAAAACAAGAGAATGGATTCGAAGACGACAAGAGAATGGTTATTTTACCAATATTGTTCGAGAACTAGCCGCAGAAGACACGCCTGCTTATCAACAAATGATAAGAATGACATTCGAGGACTTCACCGTGATATTGCGGGAAATAGAAGCTGATATTACCCCCTCGCTGGCTGTCATTTTCAAACTACACTGACGCAAGCCAACGGTGTCTATGGTAACGACTGAGTTTGCAGTCACAATGCGCGTGCGCGCATGCAAAATGTTATTGAGACTGGCCAAACGAACAAAATTTCACACATCCAACATGAGAACAAAAGAAATGTTGGACGATGTTGGATCAAATGTTTGATACTGCTTCAAACACGTTCCAACATCATCCAACATGTTGAGTGGTCATCAAACACGGTGGCCAAACAATAAAGTGTTGGTTCACCCAACATGTTGGATCATCCAACATTTATCGTTTGGCCGGGCCTTTAGGCAGAGCGTGCGACACCGGGATTAGATCACCTTTGTACTGATTAAACCTTTGTACTGATTAAAAAAAAAAAACGATTTCCAAAACTTTAAAGAAAGGATCGAATCTCTTCCACATTGGTCTCTATAATGAGTTTAATTTAAAATTTCTCACCGAAATCCAAATCATTCGGTGGAAAATGAGGAGTGTGGAAAATGAGGAGTGTGGAAAATGAGGAGTGTGGAAAATGAGGAGTGTGGAAAATGAGGAGTGTGGAAAATGAGGAGTGTGGAAAGTGCGGAGTGTGGAAAGTGCGGAGTGTGGAAAATGCGGAGTGTGGGTAAGGGGTAGATTTTAACGATATGAACAACTGTAACAAGCACATCCATTTCCTTTAAGGCGATGCATCATTGCGTTTTCTTTACTAAACCGTACATTACATTTTCAAGCTTAAAAGAACGCAAAAAAGGTAAACAAAAGAATCGAACAATCAAACGAGTGAAACATTACTGTCAATTACAACAAGCAGTCCATGCTCTTTAAAAAAGCGATTGTAGCTATGTAAAGAGCACCGAATAAAATGGGTAATAAAAAAATCAACGCGTGAAACATAATTGTGCATTAACGATAGTAATAATCTGTTTAAGGCAAGCATAATTGCATTTTCATTGGTAAATCATACAATCCTATAGTGTTTTTTGTAGCTATAAAGAACTGTTACATACATATTTTGTAGCTTTATAAAAAAACAATAACAAATAGGTAATCAAAAAATTATTGTTAATTTACGATATGAATTATCCGTCCAAACCATGCATCATTGAATTTTCATCGGTAAATCATACAATCCTACAGTGTTTTTTGTAGCTATAAAGAACTGTTACATACATACAGTATTTTGTAGCTTTATAAATAGAACCATGAAAAATATTTAATCAAAAAATTATTGTAAATTTACGATTTTAATTATCCGTCCAAATCGCGCATCATTGAATTTTCATTGCTAAATCGTACAATTCTACAGTGTTTTCTGTAGACATAAAAAACTGGAAGGAAAAGGTAAATAAAAGAAATCAATGCTTGTAGAATTATTGCGAATTAAACGATATTTACAATCAATCCAGAGGCTTTCGGCATTTCCCTCTAGCCTTCGTTAAGGGAGTGCTGAGTTTGATATGTACGCGTCCATCAAAAACAGGGTTTTTTCTCATACGTACAGGACTGGAATGGTAATAAGTGTTGGCAAAGTCTGCGCTGTGCACCAACGCTCCTGTGCTCTCGTCCCTGCGTACCACTCGACGGTCGAAGTGCTTGACCACAATGTTGTGTGGTGGCTTACGAAATTTTTAGGAAAAATTGTCGCCGCAACTATAGCATTTTTTCACATTTTTCGGCAAGGCCACTTTAAAATTCGCTTAACAACAACGACTTTACCTTTAGGTACGTAGTTTCCTTTCATTGTCGATCCAAAGCTTCCCTTACCAATCTCGTCCTTATCTTTCACGTCACTCCACTCAAAATTGGGTAGGTCCTCGAAGTAACCTTTCGAAAGCGATTTACGCTGAATGAGAGGGATTTTAAAGGCCATTACGGCCCTCTGTGAGTGTGACCACGTGGAGATGAATGCGAAATGTACTCACCTGTGAATACGCAAATTAAATTGAATCTGCCCATGGCTTATAAGTAACGTATTTCGCAAGATTCGCACCGTTTAGGTGTTAACGGTAACACCTTTTCGAACGTGACCAAAAATATTTTCCAGACGCTTTCTGTCAATTTATAATATTCACGGCTAACTATCCAAAGAAAAGCTTGCAGACAATAGGAGTGTTTCCCAAGTAACACAATTTTTATGCATGTATATATTTTTATGTCTTTATTTATGTATATCCTACACTCCGCATTTTTCACACTCGAAAAATGTTATGCTTAAGCCACAACATACTGAGAGTAATGTTTCGCTCGTTTGATTCTTTTCTTTACCTTTTACCTTTTTGTTTTTTACGTTAAAACCGTGAAGCCCCAAAAGCACCTTCTAGCACAGGATTTTAATCATATCCTGTGCGTTATTCTTGTGGGTCTTTTGCTTTTCACACCAAAACCAGGAACGTGACGTGTTCAGACAAGATCTAGTATAAAATAAGTTCTTATAATGTATTTTGTAGTTTATCCTGATGAAGTCGAAACAGGTCGATTGATAAACTCGATACTACAAGACAAGTTGCTGTGTGCTGCCCACTAGTTTCCACACTCTGCATTTTCCGCACTCTGCATTTTCCACACTCTGCATTTTCCACACTCTGCATTTTCCACACTCTGCATTTTCCACACTCTGCACTTTCCACACTCTGCACTTTCCACACCCCGCACTTTCCACACTCCGCTCTCCGCACTCTGCACTTTCCACACTCCTCGTTTTCCACCTAACCAAATCATTCTCATGCATTGGTTCTGCATGGTTGGTCCCCATTCGCCCATTGCCACCCAGATTGCCTCATTTCTACGTCTGTTCCTGGTTACGATGTGTTTCTTCTTGAACACCGCTTTGTTTCAAATTCATTGTCATTTTTACCATACTTATCCAGACTAATGCAAGGTATGAATTTGGCTAAGGAAAAAAAAACTGAACTTCACCGTGACTCATAAAAATCCCCGCTGTGTTTCTTTGAATTCACATGTTTCTCCTTCCGTTAATTTTTGTTAAATACTTGTTTTGATTTTCTTTGATAGAATATAGTACATTTTAAGAACATTATAATTTCTCGACAGGCTTTAGCAGTACGGGAAAATATTGGCTATCCTGATTCCTTAAGAAACAAAACGGCGCTGGCCTTGGATTTTAAAGGGGTAGGTTTTATCATGCCAGCCTCAGTTGCCTCTCAAAGTTATGTTGTATTGTCACAGTATACTATCGTTTTTCCAATTTTTCTTTTTATGAATTTTAAAATCATTATTTAGGACTGTCTCGTGGTATAGACAATAAAAAAGTATACATTTTCTTCACTTTTCTAAATTAATTTCTTCACATCTCCTCGCTAAATATGTAAAGCTTATCTTGTGGAAAAGATTACACTTAGTGAATTGTACAATTTACCTCCCCTCAATGAGTAACACTTAATTAAAGTTCTACCTCCTAGGCTAAAGTCTGGGATTTTGAAACGAATGGAATGGAACGGTAGTGTTGTGAACCGCATGTTTCTCCACATTAGGAGGCAGGTACCACTCGTAATACTTTTTCATTCTCTTTGACTCGTCTAAATTACAGTTTGATGTGAAGAAGGACCAATACTTCAAGAACATTGTGCGGGCGAATGAATTTTATAATCTGAAACGCTACGCCAACCTGGGAAAGCCAGTTGATAAAGATAGGTAAGGAAGGGAAAGAAATGATTTTTTTTTTTTTGTTATTGTTGAAATTTGGCGATGCTTTGATGGGAGTTTTTTCAGTGAATAATAAAAAACATTTAGCTTAATATTAGTAATGTTTATCATGTTTGCCCTTTGGCTCCAGCTTTCTCATTTACTAGCTTTATTACAAAACAAAATATACCCTGCTTGGTATAAAGGAACATGAGATAAGATTAGGATCAATGATCATTATTTGCAAAATCTTAAAATACTCAGGTATTAGCATTTTAGGGCTTTCCTTGAAACTTTAATCCCTGTTCAATATTTTTAAGTAGCTTAAGATCATTCAATCAATCAATTTTTCAATTATTTTTTATTATAGCTATTTTGATCATTGATTATCATTTATCTTATTCATATCGTACCATATCACATTAAAGAGGCAAGGGCCCGCCTAAACCCAGCACAATTACTAAGCATTCGATTTTTTTAACTCTTTTAATACGCACGCTATGAAGACGTATATACTAATATACTAAGAAATAAGAAGAGTATTAAATGAATACAAAGATAAGACAAAAGAAAACTTACCAAATGCTGAGGGAAAATCACTAAACACGAATCACTCACAAGGAAAGGGTTTTCATAGAAGCAAAAATAAAACACACCGCTGGAAAGGACGTGAAATACGAAATATAATTATATACTTATTGGCTGACAGAAGGACTAGAGGGTACAATATTTGGCTCGAGGTCATGACTTAGGGACCAATTATAATATAATTAAAATTATTAATATAATTATAATTATTAATATAATTATAATTATTAATATAATTAAAATTATTAATATAATTATAATTATTAATATAATTATAATTATTAATATAATTATAATTATAATTATAAAAGCGCGCGGGGACGCAAGGGTTTAAATGAAAATATTTACTATATCAAACGTTATATTATTTTATTTATCTTACTTTACAAATATTTCACCGCAGATGGGCCATGCTTCCTGCCACTGTCAACGCTTACTACTCAGCCACTGAAAACAAAATAGGTAAGCAATCATGTTGTTGTTGTTGTTTGTTTGTTGTTTGGACATTTGATTACCGTTACATTTTGTGTATCTTTCGTTGGTGCCAGTTGAGTGACTTCATACACACACAAACAGACCATTAGAAATTGCTTTCAAATCCTTGTGCGCTCCAGTTGTACGCCTTCAGCTTTTTCTATATCGAAGCTTTTGCTCATTCTACCAGAATTTTCGCATACACGTATTAAAGAAACTCTCGATTTTTTGTTCATTCGTGGCAAGCGGCTATTTTTTAATAGGAAATTTGTCAAAGAAAATAGCTCAGTGTTCTATAATTCATTCAGCAATTTGTTGTAGCAACGAAAAACGCATTTCTCACTTATGCTGGTCTCGCCTTTTTCAGCAATTGTTTATAAAAAGACTGAGGATGATTAGAAAGCTTGTTTAGAATTGCTGTACTGTATCTTGCGAAATCAACTGTAATAATTCAGAAAATAAATAACAAGTGAGGGCAAAAAACAGTTACATTTTGCGATATCTTTCACTAACCTGAACGATTAGGACCCGGCAAGGCTTCTTTGTTTTTGCTCAAGAGGACTTTTAGGAGTTTATTTACTCTGGAGTCACTACGTTCCTAGAAATTTACTTTAAGCGGTAAAATCTCCTTAAACAGCAAAAAACGGAAAAAGCAACTTAACTATGTGGGGCAAGCCGCATCTCATTTTCCCGCGCATTTTCGGAAGTCACGTGGAAGGTGTTAGCCAATCACCATATGTAATTTCGTGACCAGCTCTTGGTACTTCAGTGGCAGTCTGTTTGTCGACGAAGGTTTGGACTCAAGTGGCTTAAAATTTTAATTATACATTGAAACAAATAAAGGGCCATGGGCTTGGATTTTCAGGGAATTTGAAATAAATACAAAGTTTCTTCTTTTACGTATTTAGGTGTTCATATCCGACTTTCTGTTTGGTTGCGGGTTGTTTTTTATTTGTGTCCTTTTCTGTTAGCTGTGTAACGCTTGCCTACTCTTTTTTATTTAGTTTTCCCAGCTGGAATTCTGCAGAAACCATTTTATGACCACAGATTCCCTAAGTAAGTGCAGTGTGCTAACATTTTAACGGCAATTTAACTTATAAAAGAGGCAGAATCTCTCTATCTGCCTGTCTACCCGCCCGTCTGTCCGTAAGTAGATCTGCTTTTTCTTCCTATGATTTTAATTTCGATTTTATATTTCATCTAGAGCTCTTAACTACGCAGGAATTGGGGTTGTAGTTGGGCACGAAATAACTCACGGTTTTGATAACAGTGGTAAGGATACTTGCTTCGGCTAATTATAATATAAAAAGCTAATACCGTTGGATTAAAAAAAAGGAAAAACCATGGCTCTGTTGTTAAACTTCTGATACAGTAAGCTAGTTAATTACTGCCCGTTATACCGGTTGGCATATAAGTCATCAACGAAGGTCCTCCACTCCCGTCTATGTGGCCATCGAGGTTGAAGGTTGGGGCAGGGCAAACAATATAATCCAGTAAAAAAGACGTTGATACGGAAACAATGACAGAAGGAATTATTTCTACTATTAAAATCATCAGAAGATACTCGTATGATGGCAGTGATCCTGTAAGATTCCATAATATTTATGTGAAAATTAAGGATGCTGGATTTAAAACCTGAATGTATTATCCTACATTTCGATTCAAATTTCATTGGAATTCCTTCTGTAGGTCGTCTTTTTAACAAAGATGGCAACTTGGCGGACTGGTGGTCAAACAAATCTATTGAAGCTTTTAAAAACAAATCAAAGTGTCTTGAGGACCAATATTCCAATTATACGTTTCATTCACTGAACGTAAGTACGTCTTCATCGAACTGTAAGATTCCGTGTTATTGATAACTCCTCTACTTCATCATAACTGAACTGTAAAATACGATGTAATACGAGGCCGACCACCATAACCTGCACACAAACAAATCAAATTTGCCTTCCTGGTTTTCCATTGAGGCTCACTGAGGTTGATAGCTAAGTGATCGTGGTCACTCGTGCGCGATCACAATCAAATATGCTTTGTGAAGAGTAAGCAATGAATCGGGACATTTTCAGATGCATTAAAACTCTTACATGGCTCCGAGGCAAGGGGGAATAAAACAAAAGAAATTACTCATTCGTCCCTCAACCTCGACGTGATTTTTTTTTTTTTTTTTCTTATTTCCCCAAGCCTTGGAGCCAAGTTTGGATATTCCTCTATCAAAAATGGCTTTGGGGTGAAGTCAGTAGTGATTATTGTAGTAGTTGGGTTTTCTCTACTTTTTTTTAACCGCTTGTACTTTTTTGTTTTGTTTATCTATTCAATATTTCTTCTTGCACGGTTTTGCGTTGTAAGCCCCCTCAATGCTCTGCGTTACTACTGATTTTGCTATTGCCCATCGAAATCAATTCTTGACATAACGCTTCTTTTGCAGCTAAATGGTGAGCAAACACTTGCGGAAAATATTGCTGACAATGCCGGGATCAAACAGGCATTTCAGGTGATATTGCACTTAAATTGTTGTTAGCTATTTCTGTTTTGTCATTTTCCTTTTCTTTCCTTTCTTTTTTTGTTTTTTTTGTTTTTGTTTTTTTTTGTTTTGTTTTTTTGAGTGGGTGGGGGTGGGGAGATTCTGCTTTTACAGAATCACAGTCGAACCCCGCTTTCTGGAAACCCACTTAACGCAAACACTTCTTTATTGCAACCAAATTCTTGATCGATGAGGAAAGCACAATGTTTCTTCTTAGTTAACCTCTGTAGTATGGACGCCAGTCAATACTGACCAAAAACATTCAATTCGTTTCAAAAACGTTTAACAAACTTTCAACGGCCAGTCACAATTTACGTTTACCAAATGCATCCTTCGCGTTCCATTTTATTTCGTGTGTCACGACCTCTTCCCTTAATTAATTTTACTTAAGGTTTCTACATTCAATATCACTTCATCAATTGATTAATTAATCGTAATTATTCCTACTCTGGTTCGTTAAAATTGTTGGAAATGCAAGACGTATCAACTTTCTAATAATTCAATTGAATGAGGTGCAGTTCTTTTTCCGCAGGCCTATCAAAACTGGAAGAGAAGGCGGGGTCGTCCAGAGCCTTACCTTCCCGGGATGAAAGACTTTACTAATGAACAAATATTTTTCCTTGGATTTGCTCAGGTTTGCTAGCTTTTTTAAACTATTGAAAAAATATGAGCAAAACAAAACAATGCAAAGAAATAATAGAAGAAAATAATTCGAGAAACTGAAAAATAACCCTGGTAGATGGACAAACCAACTTTTTAACGTTTGCTTTTTTGTACCTTTACAGATTTGGTGCCTAAAGAGCCGCCCATCGGCAGTGGAGCGTTTGGTGACGTTTAGTTCTCATAGCCCTGAAAAATTCAGGTTCGGCTAATAACAGATACAGGCACATTTAGAAAATGTCGAAACAGCATGAAACAGGATGAAAATCTACACAGCACGAAAGTCTTCACAGCACGAAAATCTCTAAATAAAAAGGAGTGCCTTTATTTACTAGCATTTATTGGCGGAAACATCGGAAAAATTTAAGCGATAAACAACAAAGACCTCCATATTTATCTTCAAAATCTACTATGATCTAGCGTAACTTTTTTTTTTTTTTTATGAGACTTCATAAGAAGCCCATGAACCACAACGGACGAAACAGCATGAAAATCTACAAGTTGCGTTGCGCTCGTTAGATAAGAAGTAGCGACAACATTTTTAGGTCTACCCAGTTCAGAGGGCCTTAGTTCGTCAACAGTTGTTTTTATGTAAGCTCGCAGTGATTGCTTGGAAGATAAAAGAAGAGGAAATTCGCCTATCTTTGTTTATTCTACCGCCTTCCCGTCGTCTCTTTCTTTCCCTGCTCTTACGAATTGCCCTCATCTCTTGTGTTCCTTAGGAACGAGCCAGACGCTGTTACGAACACCATGGCTAACATTTGAAGTGCAATAGTTTTGTTTGACCAATAAAAGAATATTCAAGATACTTTCAAACACTACCTTTTGTAAAGTAACAGTGTAAAAAATCTTGCGCGGTTTTGAAGCGTGCAATTAGAATTCTAATGCAGCATAGTAATACGCCGCTTCCACTGACCGCTTTGCTACTAAGTTGCTCTGACCTTTCAATGCCACTTGTTCAAATCCAGAATGGTTTAGAAGTATGCGTAATCACGGTTTCAGCAGGTAGCAGTCAAAATCCTCATAAGCGTTTTCATATTTTTCTTGATTAGAGACGAAAACGCTTAAGGCTAGCCATGGGTATATAGCAATATCATTAATAAAAACTAATCTTATATATGATATATTATTTTTTCAGGGTGATTGGTTCCCTATCGAACTTTGACGAATTTGCCAAGGCCTACAAATGCCCTAAAGGATCTCAAATGAATCCTGAGAAAAAATGCTCCGTGTGGTAAAATAATTGCTTAGATTTGTTGACGTGGACTGAACCATAGCTCTTCCAAAACAAAAAAAAGGAGTGCCTTCATTTACGCGCATTTATTGGCGGAAACATCGGAAAAATTTAAGCGATAAACAACAAAACCTCCATAATCATATCATCAAAATATACTATAATCTAGCGTAACGCAATTTTTTTTTTTTTTTTTTATGAGACTTCATAAGAAGCCCATGAACCACACATCAAGCATTACCCGAGTGTCAACGGTTCAACGGCCCGGTTGTTCAAAGACGGGTTAAGATAACCCAGGATTACCGTGAAATTTAATTGCAGATCTGAAAGCTTTAAAATTAAATTCACTTTAATTCCATTTGTTTACAATTTGGTGATTGAATGCTCTAAGAAGATTTGGGAAAATTGTCTTAAAACGGCTTTTGAACAGAGAAATATATAGAAACCTGGATTAAAATTTAACCCTGGGTTAGCGCTAATCGGTCTTCGAACAACCTTTACCCTGTGATCAGCGTTTTAACGTGAAACCCTAAAATAAAGTCACGAAAGAAACTTATTTATAGGCTTTAGTCCACTAAAAAGCAGTTCAGTTGTACTCGTAAAAATGTGATGCTTTCCATTAAGAAGTTCATGCCCTTGTTATTTTGTAAAAGAGCCCCCTAAGCTGAAAATAATGGGCAAAATTTAGCTAACAGTGCTTTTTAAAGACCCCTGGTGGTATGCATTCCTTGTTTCCGGAGTTGCCTTGTATTTATGTATAAATGATTTTTTCGATTATAATTTTGTTCCTTTAAACTAAACAAAAAAAAAATTAAATAAAGTAACACGGCTCTTCTTTTGCTTGGTGGTCCTTTTCTTAGAGTTTGACAACCTGGCTGGGTATTGGCTGATGATCAGTATTCTACCAGTGCCAGCGTTACATTTTCTCAGTCATGATCTGAATATCATTGCCAAAATAGATAGACATTGATTGATCATGCCTACAAAATAATTGCGATTTTGAGACGCCAGTGCCGTATTTCACTAATCGGGCGACTATCACCCTATTTTACAAGAACAACAGAACGTGCTAAATTTGCGACATAAAAAAAAATATTATATACGTTGTAGAATTAAGCACCTGCGTGTTTTATTTAGTAATGTCGAATAACAAACATTTTGAAATTCTCTCTCTCGTCGGCAAAATACTGGACGATCGCGATACTGTATATTTCTCTATGCTCGTTTGATACTTGTAGAACAACAAGAATCCTAGGATAGCCATTTTTAAACTGTGCTGATGATTTCTTAGCGGTTCGAATCATGGTTACTGGCTCTCTTTTTATAAAGTGATTGAAAATGAAATGAGTCGATCTATTCGGTTTGACGTAAACGTCAAGAAGCAATTAAAAAAATCGGTCACGAAACAATTATCATTCCGTGCAAAAGAAATGCCAAAACCTATTTACTTTATTAACGCAAAGCATTTTCCAAACAAACCTGCCACGATGTCAAGAACTGTATCCGTATTAAACTGCAAATGAATCACAGATGGGCGAAGATTCTTCTTTCTTCCAGCATTATTCACTTACTTTTAACTGAAAGGTTAAAAATGGTTTGGTAATTGCTCTTTTATCGCTAGCCGGTCGGTCTAGCTATAGCGACAAAAGAGCAAAACAAAGCAAGTTCAATCAAAAACCAAGTTCATACATTCATGTATGCGATAGTAACTTTCCTTCAAGCCAATTGGGTGCTTTTGGCAGCTGATAATTATTTAATCAAGCAATGTAAAGTAAATTTTCGAAATTTAACATGCAGATACTTCTATGGTAAAGAAACGCTACAATTTACCTTCGAGATTACAAACAGAAGTAAAGCGAGACAGTGGTTAAACAGTCAAACTTAACAGCGACTTGATGTTCCTTGCTCTGTTAATCAGAAACCCGCGAACTGATTGAAAGAGGAATAATTTAAAAGCACTGACATCTAGCTTGAGCAGGAAATAGCGCTCTTGAATCATTTGTCTTTACTAACTGTTCTAAATAGGTCGAGAGTCTTAGTTATATCTACAAAAACTGACTTATTTTGTAGACACTCTCTTTGCTCGTCTCGCGGAGTCAACACGACTTAATCATCGCCAAGGACGAAATCCTTAATGGAAGAATATTCCAGAAGTACAACACACAAATCCATTCAGGGATTTGTTCTGGTTTCGATGAACATTTTCGCAATCTCCGGAAATATCGTCGTCTGCTGGGTTTTCTACAGAAGGCGAAAGACGCTACGCGTTCCATATTTGTACGTTTTTGCTTTGGCAATCTCTGATTTGACTGTGGCGATTTGCTGTTTCCCCCTCAACATCCAGGCGTTTTTCGAAGATGCTTGGGATCACGGCCATGCCATGTGCCAGTTCACAGGTTTTCTCCTCTACTACTGGGCAGGGATTTCTGTTCCAACCCTCGCTTTAACTGCCGTGAACCGCTATTTCCGTGTGGTCAAAACGCAGATATATCGTAACTCCTTTTCGGTGAAGTCAAGCCTCGTCATGATCATGTCTGTATGGGTATTTACACTTTGTGACGGTTTCTTATCAACCTTCGTTGGACCAGTGATATATCAATATGATTCATAGTTCTTCTTCTGTATTGGAACATTCGCCAGCAAGAAGCACCGATTAATTATCGGTGTGTTGTTGCATGTAATCCACGTCTTTATTCCTCTTGTAGTTATTGTGACTTGCTATGCGGGTGTATTCAAGACGATACGAACACATAATGCAAATGTAACACCCTCATTCCAAGCATGGCCAAATCAGCCTATGACGGCCTTAAACGCATGGGAAATACGAGTTACGCGTTTACTGTTTTTTGTGATCTTGGGGTTTTTCGTTTGCTGGATTCCTGTCATAATTATTGGTATTTTGTCGCACTCATCACTGACGAATTTACCTGCATTTGCTTTCGAACTGTACACCGTTTTGGCAATGACTTCCACTGTAATCAATCCATTCATATACGGATTGGGGAATCGGGAATTTCGACGAGAGTTTATGGGGATTTTTAAACGCACATGAGTTGTAAGTAGAAGTTGTGTTAGATCAGTTAGTTAGATTTGAAGTTGTGTTAGAAGTTAGTTAGATTTGACAAACTAGTCTTGCGAATGTCTTATGATCGAATAGATTCAAGTCATTGATCAAGCAAACAGAACGCAACTTGGTAGCATACTATCGGAAAAATAAATAGAAAGGAAAGAAATAGAACAGAACCCAGTTTTTCGAATGCCGATTAGCGCTAATCCAAGGTTAAATTTTAATCCGGGTTTCTTTATTCCTTTGTGCAAAAGTCTTCTCGAAATAATTTTCTCTATTCCTTTAATTAGAACATTCAATCATCAAATTCAAGACAAAAAGAATTATACTGATTTTCTTTTGAAGCTTTCAGATCTGAGATCAGATTTCACACTAACTCTGGGTTATCTTAACTCAGCTTTGAACAAACTGGCCTCGGG